TCTTAATACACTTGTCCCGCACCGCTCAATCTGCTGTCACCATTCGGAGCCTATATCATAAACAGTTTACAAGATATAAAAACATGTTTTTTTTTTGTTTTCTTTATAACTAAGGGGAAATCCTAGGTCTATGGAAGAGCCCAGATTAATCCCTGGGAGTGATATAATCCATGGATAGACTCTCTCTCCGGATATGCAAATGTGGCGAAAGCAAGAGTTTATATCCATATGGGTGTTCAAGACAATGTGACTTAGTTTCGCGCAGCAGGTGGAACAAATCTGTAACGTGTTGGCGTCCTAGTCCTGTCTCCTTACCACTCAAACACAATGTCCTGGACTTATAAAACATGTTCGATACAATTGTTAACGCAAATAAAAGAAACTGGAATCAATTTCGATGGGCTTCCATTATATATATTTACAATATTTTGCAATGGAAATTTTGCGACGAATTTACAATTTATCGGTTTGTGACGAATTTGTATTGCTTTTGGGTCAGATTTGCAGTAAAATTATTTTGTCACAAATAAACTGGTTTAAAACTACAAAAACATGTTCACGTACCTTTTATTTCTTCGTTGTTTCTGTCATAAATTTGCAACGTCGTCGCAAAATTTGTCACAAATTTTTGTGCAAAAAAAAAAAAAATTGTCACAAATTTGCGACCGAGCTGTTACTGAAATAGGATTTTGTCACAAATCCGTTGCTAAATCTGAATGAAAAACATTTAGCGACACCGAGTTCAAAATTATGATGAAGCAAAGGCATATCTTTTAGCATCCAATGTTAACTCAAATATTTTTTGAGAAAAAGAAAAAAAACATGTTTCATATCTCTCTATAAGGTCTATCGTACGGTTTCGTCAAATAAAAGGGCTATTTTCCATTCATAATAACCTTTTTTATCAGAGTATCCACAAATGAATCAGATAAAATAGTTACAAAATTGGCCAAAAATCTCCGTATCATCTCAATAGCTTATTATCATCTCATAAGTTAAAGAAGAAACTAGCATGAGCCTGAATGTAGAAAGAAAGCATGTGCGTTGAAAACTCCGGAGATCATCTTAGGTCTTAGGATTGCATACAATAGCTTACTCACACAATAAGTTTACAAGTCAATACACGTTGAGAAACATAAAATATTTGAGTTAACACTTAACATAGGATGCTAGAAAGATATGGCCTTTGCTTTGCTTTGCTTGTTGGGAAAGTAACAGTTTTGAAGGCAATGTAGACTATCATCCGATCCTTTGGATTCATTTCAATTTCCATTCGTGAAAGACTCTATCAAACACGTGGCTTCCAAATAAAATGTTATATCCCAATGTTTTTAGAATTTCATGTGAGTTCTCATCTCCAAGACTATGGTAGTCTGAATTTCATTTGAATAAAAGACTATCAAATACGTAGTCTGAAATTTTGTGTTCTGACTCGGAACAGAAACAATTCCATTGAATCTTCTGTAGTAAGGCCGTTGAATTTTCTGGCACACCAAACAAAAGAGAATAGATCATTTGTCTACATTGAAAACGGGTCTTACACCCAAACCAAAACATCCAACAAAAAAGGGCAGAAGAAAGATATACGATTAGTTTCACAAAATCTATGGAAGATAAACTAAAGGCTATTAGAGTAAATAAAAATTTATGGAAGAAATAGTTTTTGACTATTAAGCAAATGAAATAAAAAACTTGACTATTAAGCAAATGTTAAAATTTAAAATGAGTGATCTAAATAAGATAATGAGTTCTGGCTAGATTTCAAAATCAATTAAAAATTAAAATGCACACATCAAAAACACACAAAAAATATGTTTCAAAGAGTTTAAAGAATGGACCTTTATTATTTAAAAAATAAAATGTAATGAAATCTGAAATGTTTATGTGAACAAACAAAGTAGTAGATAGTGTAGGTGAAAATGTGACTGAAGTGGTAGAAGGAGACACCGTACTACCCACGTTCATCTCGGATTGCGGTGACTGTGTTGACTGCAAATCACAAAGACCTCTGCAGAAAATTCCCCTTCAAAGTTTCGAACCGTAGTCAGGGTTAAAGCTCTCTTAATTTATTAGTACGAGTATTCGATGATAACATTTTACGTTATTGTTATAGTAATCAGACCATGATTGTTGTTGTAGTTTTCACTAAAAACTAAATTGAACTAAAACTTTATCTCTTTCTCCAATGTTACATTCGAACCAAAACTTTTCTACAGCCAAACTGTATCAAACCGTAGTTTTACTCAATGTGTGAGGGTTAAGGCTCCGCTAGGGTTAAGACTCCTCCTTTTAGGGTTTAGCTCCTTTTAATTTGCTAAAAAATTAATTGTTTTAAATGTTTTTCGTACATTTATGATTGTTTAGCTTCACATACTAATGTTTAGAACCTTTTAATTTGC